AAAAGTGTCCTTTAAAGTTTGTATAGAGTTGGACACTTGTGTTTCACAATTGGGTTTCATCTCGCTTTCCTCAGCCGGTTAGTGTCTCGTACGCTCCCATGGCGAAGTTAAAATGTACCATCAGATCTTCGTAGACATTATTTCATAGCCGTTTATCTCATAGCCGTTTATCTTACCTTGGCTTTCACAGGACATGTCCTGTTAAATGGGTTGAAGCGCGGTAGTTGATAAACATTGATTTTCCCACAATCCAATGTGCTTTTCAAATGGAAATCACAAGTGTGAGTTTTGACCTGGGTGTGACTTGCACTGATTACCGCTGGTGACTCCTTCGATACCTTCCAATCACATAAAAATGACCTACGGTAATTAAAGCTTGGAAACATGTCGGTTCGTACTCGTTGATCTGCGCAACAGTCAGAGTCGCCATCTTTGTTTATATGAGACTTGTATATCTCGCACATGTGCAGCGCAACGACTACTGCGCTTTAAATTTCCTATTTTAGAACACCAGCAACATGAAAGTTTGAAAGTCATTATCACTGCAGAACGAACAGATACTGTTAAAGGGGCACCTTCCAGTTAAGATTAATTTCACAACAAATTTACTTTCTGGATGAAAATAACAATGGATAACAAAAGATAGATTAACATTGTAAACAACATAAACAATAGTGTCCCATGATTCTTTGGTGCAATCCATGGGATTGAGCGGTTCCCCTTTAAAGTATACTGAGCATATAGCAAGAGGGACGGAGATTCAAATTGTATCCTCTGGGCGGAGTCACCTCAGACTGACAGAGTATTCTATATTGCTATGATGCCCCCCCCCCCCCCACACACAAATGCCATGTATTTCTATGGGCTCTGCTACAGCTGCTGTGAAACGCCGGTCGAAAAGTGGGTGAAAACGGCTAAAGTCAACTTTGAAGTAATTCTCAGCAACCAAATTTGTACACGTTGGACATGCAGGTGTAATCTTTTTATTTTACGCTGTTCAGGGGAGTCTCAACAACTATCCCAAAGTAAAATTTTCTGAGTTTTCGGCCTTTGTTTTCATCGTGATGGTTGCCAGGCAATGAAAATACCTTGATGTCCAATTAGAGGATAGTGTGTTGTATGGCGAGTAGGACAACATACAGACAAGACATGTATCGAGTGGAATACTGTTTGGAGAGTAGAGGAGGCTGCAGATATGAAGATGTTTTTTTGAGAGGTAGAAATGGAGAGAAACCTCATGAAAAAAAAATTATAACTTGTGTTCCTTGAACATGTCAGGAAAGACGATTAAGAGAATTTAATGAAAAAGAAATTACAAGGAAAAAGGATTACAGACACTGAATTGCAGAATGATGAGAAGTTGATGCTAAATGGTGGTGATCTTTGCATATTGTTGACTCCCGTGTGCGAAGCACAAAATGGGAGTCTTTGCAATTCGTGTGTCTGTCTGTTCCACTGATATCTCAAGAACCATACATCAGTATTTGATGAAACTTGGTGCATAGATGCTTTGGTTTTTATTTGTATTTCAAGTAAACCTATTTCTCTTGTATACTTAGCTACATTCTCAAAGACAGAGCTATGTCATGATGCCCCAAATATCAAGACCAATCGCAAA